CGCTGTCTTGAAGAAGAAAGAAGAATTCTTGGCAGCAAAGGAGGCTCATGTCACGCAAATTACACATGTCCAAGGGCTCAAAGAAAAAATCTCTAACCTTGAAGCCGAGCTTTCGGAATTGAAAAACCAAGTCCCTCTTGCGGAGCAATCTGAAAAGCATTTGGCAGAACAGAGAAACAAGCTCCGCATGGACATGGAAGCTGGATTGAAATCTACAGCCAAGATCAAGGAGCAGCTACCTTCCTTCACAGCCTCTGCAGACGAAGCCGCAGAAGAGATAAAGACGATGAAAGAAGAATGGAGCTCATGGTAAAACAACCTTGGTTGATTTTCTCTTATGTATCTCCTTATCTCTTTGTTGGCTGGAATTGCACATTGTCATGTTTGAACATATTGTTTGTGGCCTATTGGCCATGCGAACTTCTCTTCAATGTTGATTTCTTTTTTGGCTCATATTCTGGAAATCTGCTTGCTGTACTTTTGTTCATACTCTGGTACAGGTTGAAATCTGTCATGGCCGAAATCTGGCCACTGTGGTTGTTCACAGCCAGATTTGGCCTACTTACAGATTTGGCTCAGCACTTTTATTGAATGATAAAATGCTTAAAACGATGAAATAAAATACTGTACAAATTCTACCTCAAATCTGTCTCAGGTAGAATCAATGGTATCCAAACCTCTAGCCTCCCATATCATAGGATAGTAAGGTTTAAGGTAGATTCCATTTATTTTTCGAGGATGTAACTCTCCATTTAATGATTCAAGACAATATGCTCCTCCTCTAAGCACTTCATGTATTCGAAATGGTCCTTCCTAATTTGGAGACCATTTCCCAAATCTGGGGTCTTTCTTTCCATGTGGCAGAATTACTTTCCATACTAGATCTCCTTCTGCCAGACTTCTAGATTTCACCTGTTTGTTGTATGCTCGAGCCACTTTTAATTTCTGCGTTTGCAGCCTATCTAAGGCCGTCAATCGCATACCTTCAAGGTCTTCTAACTCTAGAATCATTGCTTCATTATATTCTCCAGAAGTGAGACCATGTTGAATCGCTATACGCAATGATCTAGCAGATAACTCCATGGGCAGAACAGCATCATGTCCAAAAGTTAAAGAGAATGGAGTTACCTTGGTAGAACTCCTTTGTGAAGTTCTGTAAGCCCATATTGTGTCAGATAACAGCTCATGCCAACACCTTGGATTATCATCAACCATTTTTTCCAGCAGATTTATCACAATTCTGTTGGAAGCTTCAGCTTGACCATTGGCTTGAGCATAATGAGGGGTTGAAGTGAGTAACCTAAATCCCATTTCTTTTGCAAATGCTTCAACTTGTGCACCAACAAAAACTGTCCCTTGATCTGAAGTCATTGTTTCTGGCAAATCGAATCTGTGAATGATTTCCTCCTTGAGAAATTTAATAATATCAGTTTGGTCAACCTTCTTCATTGGCTTTGCTTCCACCCACTTGGTAAAGTAATCTGTGGCAACAATAATAAAAGAATGCCCTCTAGTGGAAAGAGGATAAACCTTACCAATCAAATCTATGGCCCATCCTCGAAATGGCCATGGTTTGACAATTGGATGGAGTTCTGACGCTGGAACTCTCTGCAGCGGTCCATGAATCTGGCAGGCTTTGCAACCTTTAGCATAGCTGATGCAATCTCTCAAGATTGATGGCCAAAAGAACCCATGCCTGCGAATTAGCCATCTCATCTTAATTCCAGCTTGGTGTGCACCACAGATTCCGTTATGCACATCTGACATAATCTGGCAGTACTCATCTGGACCAAGACAGCGCAAAAG